CAGCCAGAAGCCAGTTCTCATGGCTGGCAAGCGCAGCGGCAATTGGCCGAACGGCCTCTTCTTACCTTTTGTGCAAGCAGTTGGTAAGGAGTTGAGGGGGTTCTGGACTGCGAGAAGCCCCAGACTGTGAGAGGGATGTTCTGACTGCCCCGGGGGATCGGGCCTAAGCGGGGCAGGCAGATATTCCCTGAGGGGTCCTGGACTGCTAGAGGGCACAGGCTGGGCTGAGAGACTCCCCCCCCCACCCCCCCGCCGCCAGTGCATGAATATCGTGCACCGGGCCTCCAGTATATATAGATACTGCCTCTGCCACAGGACCCTTTGTGAGTTAGCCCTTACCCTTCAGATTTTAGTCCATCCTGTCCCCAGCAGGGTTTCCCATGAGTCCTCAGAGATGCTGGCCACACGCCGCCCCCCCCCCCCTCCCCACGTTTTCAGAACCCCCTGGCAATTAACCTGTGTGGTTGGATAAATGTTTCACTTCCTCACTAGTATAAAGTTCCATTGAGGACTTTGTCTGTTTTCACTCAACATTGGGTCCTTGTCATGTCACACACTGCTGGGTATGTGGCAGGTGCTCAGAAAGTATTTATTGGATCCATGAACAAAGGTTATGAAGAAAGCAAAGATTGATAGTATGCTGACCACATTCTGGCTCTTTAGATACAGTATACCATTCTGTTATTGTACCAGATGAAAATAAGTTTTATTTCAAGTTACAGACAACCCAACTACAGTGGCTTAAACAAATATGATATTATCTGTCTCAAACAACAAGAGTTCCACGTGGGCATTTCGGGCTGGTTTGAGTGCTAACAGATGTCACCAAGGTTCTAGGCTTTTCTGTGTTTCTGCTGCTGCAAATTGGGCAATATGATAGTCTTGTCAAAGTGACAGTCATTGGATTTTTCTGCTGTGCTGTGAGCAGATTTGTTGCATGAGTAGATTTGATACTCTAAATGCCTCCTTAAACAAAAAGTTTTACTTTTTTTATAATGTACTTTATAAGGAGAAACATGAATGGAATTCCCAGGGTAACAGGAAGCTTTCCTGAAGTGTCCGGTGATCCTCTGCTTTTGTTTAAGTCTAAGGTTTTAAAGCCGACTGGAAACCTTGTTGGGAGAGATTATTGACAGGTGTTACTGTAGGGTGACCTGGTTGGTATTTCAATAGGAGGCCCAGTGTTAATAGACTTTTCTCTTCAAACACTTGTCAGGGAAGAATGCTCTGGTCTCCTTCGGTGGGGACTACAAACCAGGCCCCAGTGTTCTGGACGCCAAGTGGGAAGGGACCTGGGGTGTGGGGAGCATATCTGTCTTAGCATTTGGCGTAGACTTTGATTTCATACCACAGGTTTCAGTGCCTTGCCTACCCCAACCTTGAGCTATGCCTAGTGTCTCAAGTCCGGATCCTTGAATTCACCTCTTCCAGAGAGTAAAATGTGCTGGGTGGGGTGGAAGAAGGCCAGCCCAAGAAAGGAGAAGAAATTCATAAATGGGTTTTAAAAACCAATTCTGTTTTCATACCCCTTGATGCCCCATTTCATAGCTACCTGGGATCTCCTGTTCCTGAGCTTTGTGGAGGAGATTTGGCAAGGTTATGTGTTCAGGTGAGCTTACGTCCTGCCTCCCTCCACTTGCAGCCTAGATATGTCTTTTCTCTGTCTTAATTTTATTAAGCTCTGTCCACAGTTTTAGGGCTGTTGTGTCCTGCTCTTAGTTCTTGTGGGTTCACGCCTTTTCTCTCTCTTGTCATTTCAGTGGAAAGGGAGGGAAGGGAAGATGATGTATTCATTCCCTCATGCTTACCTGGAAATCTTGCATATATTATTTTTCTATAAAGTAGAATTGTACTGTACATTTATCTTTGATCTCTATAGTATTCATTTAAGTTATTCAACATCTGTTGCATATTTAACTGATTCTCTTATGTAGAAATGACAGGATAATGAAAATTGCTGGGAAAAAGAGTCAATTTTCCAGAAAATGAAGACTCTAGATTTGTTAAAAAGTACAATGAGCCTTTTAAAAAATGTCTGTTTAATTTTCAGATTGTGAGCCATGCCTTTAGTGAAGCGGAACATCGAACCCCGGCACCTGTGCCGGGGCGCCCTGCCTGAAGGGATTACCAGTGAACTTGAATGTGTAACCAATAGTACCCTTGCTGCTATCATACGCCAGCTAAGCAGTCTAAGTAAGTCATCTTTTTAGAACAACTTTTTTTTGAATTATCAGTTGCATTTTATTAATTTCAATATTAGCAAATAGATTTCAATTCAGTAGCTATGTGCTTGTCCAAAGATGAGACTGCAGCTTTGAGGGAAGGAACCGCCCTTCCTCCCTCCTGCATGTCCCAGTGTGGAATTAGCAGCACCCTCTCTGGCCTTGTAGCACCAGCTTTATGTAGTAAGACGTAAAGTTAGAGTTGACCAGTTCACAAATTATTAGATGAGGCCAAATGAGTAGATATAAAGTAGTTTTACACAATTTTAAAAACTTATTAAAATGAGCATAATATAATTAGCTTTTATAAACTTTATTTAAGTATTTTGTTTAACTTGGACAGGACTAACTTGTATAAAAGGTAGCAAATTGAAACTAGTTAACAACTGTAATACATCTGGCTCAGAGTAGGCACTCAATAAATATTTGTCGATTGAATAATACTCCAAATTAATCAAAGATTAAAGCCAAAAAATTATGAGATTTGCTGATTCCAAATTGAAGTCAAATACGATTGTTACAGATATACAGAACCAGGTACATATTACATATGTAGGGTATATAACTATAAGCAAATTCAAGCATAAGGAAAAGAAGACTTTCTGTTATTCTAATTTTGAACATTCATATGAACTACTACCCAAGGAATAGTCCATGTTTTAAGCCTCAAATATGGTTTGAAAATGCTTTTCCTTCAAAACTCTTTGAAGTTGCAGTGTTTTTCCCCCTAACTTTTTATATAATCTTGTTTTCTCACTTCATCCCACTGCTTTTAGGTTTAGATGGTTACACTGCATTTTGGGTGACAGGTTTTCACAGTTAAGTTTTTCAGAAACTGTTAATAATGAGAAAATTGTCCATAAAATTTCACATACTGATAGCCTCAAGCACAGGGTATGATTCCTAAAGAACTTCAAGCACTTTTTTTTTATATATAAGAAAAAACATTATGGATAGATAGGTATTTTTAGAAAGAATTGTACTGTATTATTACTCATTAATTTTTAATACATCTATAATCATTGACTAAGTCAAAAGCAACTTGGAAATTAGTTAAATGTATTTCACAGAAGATTTCTTCTGAAATATAAACTAATTATAATTGTTTTTTGGTAGTGGTTGATAAAATATATAAATTTGTATAATTATAGGAAGATACCTTGCAAATTATTGAAGGGTAAAATGTTTCTGTTTGCATTCACATATATATATTTAAATTATCTTTATTGTTGAAAGTATTACAGATGTCCTCTTTGTTTTTTTATTGTGTGTGGTTCCCCCCCCCCCCATCGACCTCCTCTACCTGCACCCGCCCCTCTCAAGCCTTCCCCACATTATTGTCTGTGTCCATGGCCTATACATATACGCATATAGGTAAATTCCCCAGTTAATCTCGCCCCTCTCACCTCCCCACCCCCGCCTTCCCTTTGGAATTCATCAGTCTGTTCCATGGTTCTCTGTCTCCAGATCTATTTTGTTCATCAGTTTATTTTGTTCATTAGATTCCTGCACTCATATATTTTTGTAGGAATTCTTTAGTCTCCTGTTTTTATGGCTAAAATATCTAATGGCATCCTATATAATAAAAGCCTAATATGCTAAGTGTCCGGTCGTTCGGTTGGCCATTCAACCAATCAAAGCATAATCTATCCTATCTAATAATAGAGAAACATGGTAATTAACTGTAACTTCGCTACCCTTCCCATTGGCTAATCAGCGAGATAGGCAAATTAACTGCCAACCAAGATGGCGGCTGGCAGCCAGGCAGCTGAAGCGAACAGGAGGCTTGCTTGCTCCAGTGAAGGAGGAAGCCAAGGTTCCCCGCCTGCCGCTGCTGGGCTCTGAGCTTGCACTCTAAGAAACAATGTTGCAATTATAGAAGCTAAACAAACCCCAGAAACCTGCTTTCAGCCGTCAGAGCTGGAGCTGCAACAGTGTTTCAATTATAGAAGCCAAACAAACCCAGATAACTGCTTTCAGCAGCCAAGGTCTCAGAGCGGGAGCCGAGCCTCAGAGCTAAAGCCAGCTCTCAGCTCCAGTGACAGCCATAGAAGGTAAATAAATCCCAGAATAAAAGAAAAAAAGGAGAGGTTGGGAGCTTCAGTCACCTGCCAGCCTGAAAACGGCTCTCAGCCCCTCACCCAGACTGGCCAGGCACCCCAGTGGGGACCCCCACCCTGAAGGGGGTGCGACCAGCTACAGCCATCATCCCCTCATCCAGGCTGGCCAGGCACCCAAGCGGGACCCCCCCACCCTGATCCGGGACACCCTTCAGGACAAACCAGCCGGCCCCCACCTGTGCACCAGGCCTCTATCCTATATGTAAAAGGGTAATATGCAAACTGACCCTAACAGCAGAAGGACTGGGAATGACTGGTCACTATGACACACACTGACCACCAGTGGGCAGACGCTCAATGCAGGAGCTGCCCTCTAGTGGTCAGGGCGCTCTCACATGGGAGGAGCTCTGCTCAGCCACAAGCCAGGCTGATGGCTACCAGTACAGCAGTGGTGGTGGGAGCCTCTCCTGCCTCAGCAGCGCTAAGGATGTCCAACTACAGCTTAGGCCTGCTCCCCACTGGCAAGTGGACATCCCCTGAGGGCTGCCGGGCTGCCAGAGGGATGTCTGATTGCCATCTTAGGCCCAATCCCCTGGGGAGCGGGCCTAAGCCAGCAGGTGGTCATCCCCTGAGGGGTCCCAGACTGCGAGAGGGCACAGGCCGGGCTGAGGGGCCCCCCTCCCCCTCGAGTGCACAAATTTTTTGCACCGGGCCTCTAGTATATATATAAAAGCCCAGTGACCGTTATAGCAGAATGACCAGAACGACCGGTGGCTATGACATGCACTGTGGCAGCCAGCCATCCTGATCCGGGCCCGATCGCCCCAACACCCTGACCAGGACGGGCCAGACAGCCATCTGCCTTGGCTGGCAGAAATTTGGGGTCTGGGGACCTTGGAGGTGCTCTGTCTTCGGCAGCTGAGTGAGCAAAGCTCTCCTTTGGCAGAAGTGGACCCGGGATCAGGGCGCTGGAGTCAGGGATGGGGTGGGGAGGCTTTCCTGGTGGCCACAGCAGTCCCCGAGGGCCACACACAGCACCCAGGTGTCTGGCCCCTGTTGGAGCAGCAGCAGGAATAGGGGCCACAGGGCACAGGGGATGGTAGCACACAGGAGCCAGGAGGCGCGAGGCCGGACCTGGGCTCTTTCCCCACCCGCTAGGCCCAGCAGCACCAGCAGTTGGGCCATGTTGTGCAGCGAGGCGCTGGGCCACCAACCGGAGGGGAAGCAAGCCAGGAGGGCAAGGCCCCGCGCCAGCAGAGCCCGGAGTGGTGTGGGCGGGGCCGGAGCTGGAAACCCTGGCGAAGTCGGGGGGCTGAAGACCCACACCTTTTCAGCCTTGGCCTTGGAATTCTGCAGGCAACTAGTGTACTGGCTACCAGCGCGTTTGAGGTCAGCCCTGCTTCAAGAGAGAGGATGTGGCGGAAAGTGGCAAGGCCACAGGAAAGATAGGAAATGTTGTGGCCACCTTCAGGAAACACAGCTGCCATGGTCTTCAGTAACTATAAACAGTTAATCTTTGATCTCCGTTCTACAGAAGAGGAAGCTGAGACTCAAAGAAGGAAGCCTTCCACAACACCTCACCCACTTCTCAGACCTGACCCTGTGTAGCATTGTTTTCGTTGAAAGTAGAGGATCCAAAATGTTTTTAGACCTTTGCTATTTTAGGCAGGAAAGAATTTAGCACAGGGAATTGGTGTTTGGGAAATCATCGGAAAGCTGGAGGAGGGGGTATTAGGCTGGCCCCCCAGGAAAGATTCCCTGGCCAGTGGGAGGAGCTGCCCCCTCAGCCACAACTGAATTCTAGGACATTCTGGCACAGCTGTGACCCAGGGATCGAGAAATTGCTGCCCCCACAAGTGCCCTCCAGCTCCCACAAAACAGGTCACTGGGCACTGCCTCTGCCACAACTGAATTCTAGGACACTCTGGCACAGCTGTGACCCAGGGATCAGGAAACTGCTGTCCCTGCAAGTGCCCTCCAGCTCCCACAAAACAGGTCACTGGGCACTGCCTCTGCCACAACTGCCTGTGCACAGCCTGGATTCTGCTGCAGAAAACCTCCACATCTCTGCAGACATGATCACCAGCAGCAAACTGCCCAAACAGCGGGGAGATGCCTCTGCCCCACTTCTGCCTTCAAAATATTGTGCAAGCGCATCCAATAGGCAGAAATGAATTCATATCCAGAAACCTAGCTGTGAAGGAGTTTGGGCAATTTCAGACTTCCGTCTAGGAGTGAGATCTTGCTAATGTACCTCATATGCCTGGTATTGATAAAAATGGGGCTTGGCTGGTGGGGCTCAGTGGTTGAGCATAGATCTATGAACCAGGAGGTCATCATATGATTCCTGGTCAAATTTCGGGCTTGATCCTAAGTAGGGGCATGCAGGAGGCAGCTGATCAATGATTCTCATCATTGATGCTTCTATCTATCTCTCCCTCTACTTTCCTCTGAAATGAATAAACATTTTAAAAATGGGGTCATGCTGTATAGATATGTTATAACGAGTTTTTCACTTCATAGATCACTAATGTCTTTCCTGTTAAAACCATACTTAGAGAACATTATTTATTTATCATTCATTTGAATTGATCTCAGAGAGAAGAAGGGAGAGAGAGAGAGAAACATTGTTCCATTGTTTCCTGAACTCACTGGACTGGGTATTGAATCTGCAACCTGGGCATGTGCCCTGACTGGCAATCGATTCAGCACTTTCTGGTGTATGGGACGATTGCTATGCTGGTACCCTGACCCCAAATTCCAGCCTCCAGAACTGTGAGAAAAATACATTTCTGTTGTTTAAACCACGCAAATTTAAGATATTTTGTTATGGCTTTCTGAGCTTATTAATCCTATATAATAAAAACCCAGCAACCGAATGACAGAACGACTGGAATGACCAGAACAACTG